TTGGAAGTTGTCAAGGAGATCCAAAGTAAAGGTATAAGAGAATATGGTGTTGCAGCTGCTGATGATGGTGCATCTGAAAATTCTAATGCTCACATAGAGACATTCACAGTGCCATTTATAATGCTTGACCTGGATTTGCCACCTCCACCACTCTTTAAAGATGCCTTGGAGAAAAATATAATCCCTCAGGTACGTATCCAATGCATATATTTCTTGCTCAAAGCCTTTGATTTATGTTGTCTGTGCTTATATGGTGTTGACGATTTGGAAATAACGAGTACTTGTTAAAAAAGATTGTTTGGTACAAAGTGTAAATGCAATTATATTCTAATGGTTATGCTTGTTGTTTCCAATCAATAATATATACCTTCTTTCCCCTTTATTATAAACTTTGTTTTTTGATGCATTTTTTCCATATGCATTCATAATGTGCAGGTTCCACTTTTCAATATATTGAAGAAGTTTGATAGGGAGATCATAACAGAAGCTGTGCATCCTCAAATAGCTAAGATGCAGTATAGTGTCACAAAACTACCACCTTACGTTATTATGCACCTACGGCGATTTACCAAAAGCAACAACTTTGTTGAAAAGAATCCTACCATTGGTATATGATCTGATCTTGTTATTGATATTTTCAAATCATTTTCTTCTTCCATTTTTTAGTGCAAAGTAGCCTGATTCAAAAAAATTTCTCATATGTAGTTAATTTTCCTGTGAAAAACCTTGAGATGAAATATTACATTGCTCTGAAAGATGCCGAGAAATTGAGGTCAAAATATGATCTAATGGCAAATATTGTCCATGAAGGCACGCCTATCCAAGGATCGTATAAAGTCTGCGTTCAAAGAACGTCGGAGGATCAATGGTAATTTTCTTACATTACATTATCTTGGATTCTAGAGTATTACGAATGAAGCAACTTGTTTTTTTTTGTGAATTTTTGATTAATTTACATTTGAAACTTAACGAGTAGTAGTCGAGTAGTATTCTTAATTTTTGACTCAGACAGTTTTTCACTTTCTTTTGTTGGATATTTTAATAATTGCAGGTATGAGGTCCAGGATTTGCATGTTTCAGAAACAAAAGCTGAGATGGTTGCCCTTTCAGAAGCATACGTGCTGATGTATGAGCTGCAATCGAATCTTTGAAAGCCACACAAGTAGAATAACAGTGATCACCTTAGGCTTAGACTTTATATTAGTGACTTTATCTTTTCAGTTTTTTAAATTCCTTGTATGATAACTTTTATGTATGAAGCAAAAATTAAATTAAAAAAAGAAAAGAAAAAAAACCGGAAAGTTTCGGATGGCAAATTTTCAATGTGTTTCGGTCAGAAAACAATTTACCTTTAGCAGGTCCTTCGGATGAGTGGAGATGAAGCTCAATTCGAGTGATGACCGAATTGAGGATTTCCTGCACAGCTGAACAAACATAAACTGGCCTCGTGGGTTGTGCCGAGAAAAGCCCCTCCGATGCCGAAGTCAGTACGAGTGTAAGAACAAGAGAGAATAGCTATGCAAGAGTATTTGTTGCTTGAGGCAATTTTTGTGTATGAATGTAATTATGCAAGAATGTGAGCTTTTATACCTTGTTCCAATTGAGTGGAATGAGCTTAAGGAGTCAAATGGGCTGCCATTTGACTAGGTCTTGTTTTACTTGACTTGGCTTTAGAGTTTGAGGGTTGAACCTTGCCTATTGGGCTTTATTTATTTTCATTTGTGGACTGGGCCTAAATATAAGTTATTTGGACTCCAAACAACTTGCCCCTCAGACCCGATTCGTGAGGATAACGGGTCGGGTTTCAGCTGCTGAGAGATTTGGAGGGAAGTAAATGAAAATAATTTAAATTTTGATTTTGAGGAATTTGTACGGTTTAGTGACCGTTAATTATGATTAATTAACCTTAATGACAGTTAATTAATGATAGTGGGGAAGTGGAAAGAACTTAGTGGATAATTAATTTTGGCGGTTTGCAATTTGCCTGGGAAGAATTTGAAGAGTTGTGAATTGAAATTAAGTGAGTGAGGGTTTTTTACCGGATATTTAACTTGTTTTTGCACAATCATTTCTGGCATTCACAAATCAACCCACATTCGCATTTTTCTCTCACTTCCCAGCGAACTCGCGCAAACACAACTTCTCTTTTTCACTAATTTCTGCATTTTCGAAGCTTTTCCGCACAATTCGTTGCTTCGAACTACTAGATTGGCGAATTTCGAGTCGGATAGAGGCAATTTTCCCCGAATTCCATTCGGATTTCCCCCCTTTTTAAAGCTTTTTCCCCCTTTTTTCGTCCTTTTCACATCGCCGCCAATTTCGCAATGGCCGACAATCCCGGAAAGAGACCAATGGAACCTGAGGCGAGTGCTTCAGAAGAAGAGACGCCACAACTAATCTTGAGGCGTAATCGCCCTCTGGCGCTGATGCCATTTTTGAGCGGGTGTAACCCCAATGCCAGAACTGGGGACGCCGCTTCCTCGAGTGGTGAGGGAATGAGGGCTGTTCCTTTAAACAGTGCCCTTCTAGCTGAGACAGCCGAAGCCAGTACTTCGGGCCGAAGGGTCATCTCGAGACCCAGACCTTTGACTCTTGAAGAGCAGGAGTGGACTGCTGAGTCTGAGAACTCGGGCTTGCTGATGACTGAGCCATCCTCTTGGTAGCTGGTAAATGATGCTCGGTATCGATTTGCCGAGCAACTGGAAGTTTATTACAGCGTTATGGAAACCGATGGCTATTGGTGCCGAATGCCCACAGCGTTAGAGAGGATCTACCGGGCCCCTCCTGGTTATATTGGGGTTTATGTTCGGTAGCTGCAGAATGGGCTGCGATTTCCCGTTCATCCGTTCGTCATAAAAGTGTTGAACGGATACAACATTTCTCTAGCTTAGCTGACCCCTGTTAGCATCAAGAGAGTCATGACTTATCTGTGGGTATGCCTCTTCTATGGGCTGGAGCCTAGCATCCATTGCTTTCGGTGCACGCATAGTTTGGCGCCGAACACCCAATCAAGCAAATGGCACGGCCACGGTTGGTGGCAGATAGAGGATGAGAAAGGTTATCTAACCACCTATCCGAATGATACTTCAGACAAATTTTGGCGGGGCCAATGGATCTGGGTGCGAGCCCCTTCAGACGAGGGTCACCCTAACTATTTCGGGGGACCTCGCTATACGAGAAAACCTGATCCATTGATGTCTAGCATCGGCCCTGACGATTTTACCGAAGCGGATCGATAGCATATGGCTCTTTTTGGCCGAACTGTCAAACCTGGCGCTACTGGCCGAATGACCAAGTGCCAACTGTCTGGCTGCATGTTGTCATTACATCTTCCAAGAGAAGATGTTAGCAGTTGTCGGCCTCAGCCGAAGATACCAAGGTGGTAAGTGATTCGGCTGGGGCCGAAACTTTTACTTTCTGCTTTTAAGTTTCTGTAGTCCGAAATTTTTCATCTGAACTAATGTTTTGCTCTGATGATTTTTCAGAGGTCTGCGAAGAGAATTCCGGCATTGACTACGAAGTTCTGGGGATCAGCCGAACTAGGGAGCCGATCACCAACACCCCCATTATTACCGCTGTCAAGGACCGCCCTCTTACGCTGCAGCCGAGAAAGCTAGAGGTGGTCAGCGCTTTCGAGTATCTGGCTCAGAAGCCTTGGCACAAGAAGCTTGATCCCTTATTTCTTCATTCAGCTGAAGAAGAAGCTGCTGCTGCTGCTGCCGCTAATGCGCCGAGAGGTGGTATCGCACATCCACCCCCTCCATCCGAACCACAGAGAGAGGAGGATTTGGACGAGGAAAACACCGAAGAACTATTCGGGCCTTCGGTAAGTCCCTGATTCTTCTGCATTTTTTCCATACTTTAATTTGCATGAAATTTTTTTTCTAAGTATAGAACTTCAGCATATTGATCTTTCGGCTTGCGAAAAATTCTCTAAGTGTGCAGCTTCAGCTTTAAGTACGCATGTTATGCGTAACTTTTCTTAACTTGTAAGAATTTTTGCTAAGTATAGATCTTCGAATGCATACTCTTCTTCTGATATGGTTTGCATGATTTGCAAAAGTTGTTAAATATGAAGCTTCGGCTGAAAGATCTGCGTGCCTTTACTTTGCGTTTTTTTTTTATTTTTTTTATTTTTTACTCACTGCTTACACGTCTTCCTGCCCCCTTTTTCCTCTCTTCTGCAGTCTGAAGGGGAAGAAGTAGAGAAAGAAGAAGCTGCCCCTCTTCCTGAAACCACTGCCGAAGATATGGCTGGTGGGAGAAGGATCCTTGTCCGTCCAGGACAATTTAAGGCGCCAGAGCCACCTGCCAAAAAGCCTCTGCACGAAGAGGTCCGAGAAGAAGAAGAAGCGAGGGAAGTCACCTCTCCATCTCGGGAGGTACTTATCGAAGTTGTTGAGCTGAAGACCTCTCCTTCACCTCCTCCTCATGACTCTGGGATGTTCTCAGAGAATATTCAGCAAGAAGTGGATGCGCTGAATATCCATGCAGAGGATGTTGCTACTGTTGAGGTCGAACCGCAGATGGCTGAAGCCGAAGAACCTAAAAATGAAGAAGTGCCCTCCATCTCTGCTGCGGATTCATTCAAGACTTTTCAGTCTTCTAATATGGGCTTCGGTTCAGCGCCCTTGGTCTCCATTCCAGAACATGCCCGGGCCTTGTTCGAGTCCAAGCGCGATACAACTAGCGCTCATTTCGGCCATCTGGCCAATTTATCTGCGCTGGATAAGGCTAGGGCTTAAATTGCGGGCGCTGCTGCCGGGGCTGCCGAGCCTCTTGATAAAGTGCCGAATCCCTTCCTAGAGAACCAGCGGCTGCTGATGCAGGTGAGTTCCAACATAAAATTTTCTCTAGATTTCTCTTTCTTTGTATATATCATTCTATATATGTATATTTTTCGAGAAAATTTTTCAAAGTGTTGGGCCTCAGCTGATCTCCGATTTTGCTGACTGGTCGAAATTTTACACGTTGTTCATAATCATTTCTTGGCTGTGGAAATGAATGATGAGCTGCAGTCCAAAGCTGACAGGGCCGAAAAAGCTGAAAATCTGGCTCGACTAGCCGAGCTGAAACAGCTTAAGGCTGAAGAGGAGACCTCAGCTACGAAGCTGGAGATGCAAAGGATGGACGAGAATTTCCGCTCCTTTTGCCGAGGCCTGGAACAGACTGTCTTTCCTTGGATTGAAGAGGGTCAGTCTCTAATGAAGGAATACGGAGCCGATACCATTGCTGAGTTCAAGGCTCGTATCGAGAATAAGATGAATGAAGAGGCTGAATCCCGACAACAGTTAATTTTAGATCATGAAAGTCAGGTTGCTCTTATCCGTACAGAAGCTAAGGATAAGCAATCTGAGCTCGAAGTCGAGGTCCAGAAGCTGAAGGATGTGTTAGAAGCTGAGAAGAAGGTATCCTCCAAGGCCTCATCTGATCTCACTGCTGCTGAGGAATTGCTAAAGACCAGGATCTATACTGAAGCAGAATATGCTGAAGGATATGAAAATGGTTGGAAGGTTGCTCGGCGACTGGCCTTCCATCTTGAACCTAAAATTAACTGGGATCAGGCTGAGGCTTGGTCCATGGATCCGGCAGATGCTCATATGTATGAGGCTAGTCTAGCCGAGGTTGCATTCCTGGCTCGGCAAGCTAAGAATGAGGAAAGAGAGAAAGAAGCTGCTAAAGAGCTGAATGTCGCCCATCCTGCTTCCTCTTCAACCGATGTTGATGCTTTGGCTGCCCCGAATGACGTTCCCAAGAATGCTGAAGCATAGGAATTCGGGCAGTCGTCTACGCAGTCCTGCGGATCAACGTGCACTTAACTTGTAAACGCCGCATCAGCTTTTGCCTGTTCTCTTTTTGTTTTAGCCTGCCTTGTACAAACTTTATAATCTTGTTTTTGTGTACTTCGGCAGCTGTGTTTCCGCTTTGTGGGCGACTGCCGACTTTGAATTTCTGTAACTCTAAATTTAATATTTTCCCAGCGTTTCTGCTGACGTCTCCTCTGAGCCCTGATTAATTGATTAGCTTTGTCGTTTAACTGCTTTGTCTTTTTAATTTCTTCAAAATTTTGCTAAGTACAAAGCTTCGGCTCATAAATCATCCGGCTGATAATGTTTACCCTTTGCATGTTTCTTCTGCCTTGCTCGTTTAACTAGGATGTTTCACGGAAATTTTTCCAAGTGTACTGTTGAGCTTCGGCTGGGAGCTTGACTGGGTGACTACCTCTTGCCCCCCCCAGAACTTTGAAGATAAAGTCTTCAGAGTTCTGAGATATTGCTTTCGTTCTTTCAGCGTAGTCGAACGTTTGAGCTTAGAAACATTTTTGACACTTAATAGTTTGAACATTCATGTTTGTTTCTTATGTTCTGTTTGGTTTCAATTCATCCGAGGGAATGACTATCTTGGACATAGTGCCGGGGCGATGATCATCCTAAGTACAAGGCATCATTATGCAATACTTCGGAGGTGTAACCATCACCCGGAATTGATTTTCCGAAGCACAGGGCATCATTATGCAATGCTTCGGGCCTTTTATCAATTCCTATTTTTGGCTATGTCTTAGATAGGCCTATGACCTCTTTGCCGAGAGCAACAAATCCGTCCGAGGTACAGTGCATCATTATGCAATACCTCGAGGTTCTATTTGTTGCCCCCATATCAGCAGGTTCTTCGGCTTGCCGAAGTACAGTGCATCACTATGCAATACTTCGGACAGCACCGGGTGTAAACCTTGAATTTTTCAAAAAATGACGAAGACAGAAATAATGAAGACATAATGAAATTGTGACTAATTGCGGCTCAAAGGCCTTTCATTGATTTGAAGAAGACGTACTTACATAGATTTTTCTCCCGCATTGGGGTTTTACACATGAAATTTCCTAAGTACATCTGCATTCCAGTGGTTTTCCAATTCGGTTCCATCTAACTGCCGAAGCCGATAAGTTCCTGGCTAGAGCTCATCGTATATTTCATAAGGCCCTTCCCAGTTAGCCGAGAGTTTTCCATGGATGCGACTTTTCTGGACAGCGGCAGCATTCCGAAGAACAAGGTCCCCAACTTTAAGGAGCCTTGCCTAGACTCTTCGGTTATAGAACTTGCTGATTCTTTGTTTGTATGCAACCATTGTGTCTCTTGCTGAATCTCGGATCTTGTTTAAGAAATCAAGAGACTCTTTCATGAGATGTTCATTTTCTTCGGCTGAGAACTGATTGACTTGAAGACTTTCTGAGCCAATTTCCATTGGTAAAACAGCTTCAGATCCATACACCAATTCAAAAGGTGAATGTCCCGTAGCCTCTTTTTCAGTTATCCGAAGTGACCATAAAGTTCCTGGGAGTTCCTTTATCCACTTGGACTTTTGATCCTCAACTCTCTTTTTGAGAGCATTGAGTATTTGTTTATTTGCGGCTTCGGCTTGGCCATTACTCTGAGGATGGAAAACTGCCGAATATGCCAATTTTATTCCGAACTGATCAGTGTACCGCTTCAGCAACAGATTGTCGAATTGCCTCTCGTGATCAAGGACATACACCTTCGGGATGCCAAAGCGAGTAATGATATTCTGCCAGATAAATTTCCTGACAGTCTGCTCAGTTATGTTTGAAGCTGCTTCGGCTTCTATCCATTTGCTGAAGTAGTCAATTCCGACTATCAGCCACTTTTTCTAATAAGGAGCCTCAGGAAATGGTCCTAAAATATCCAATCCCCATTGAGCATAAGGGAGCAGATTCAGAATCGGCTGAAGGTCTCTCGACGGCCGATGAATAACTGGCGCGAATTTTTGACATTTTTCACGTTTCTGCACCAGGCCCTTGGCATCTTGGATCATGGTTGGCCAGTAATACCCTGCCCGTAGTGCTTTATGGGCCAGGGCCCTTCCCCCTATGTGATTTCCGCAGATGCCGAAGTGGATTTCCCGAAGGATATAATCCGCATCTGTTGGGCCCACACATTTCAGCAGTGGGGCTGAGAAGGACTTTTTCAGCAATTCCCCATTGTAGACAATGAACCTTGAGCCGATTCTCTTCATTTTTGCGGCTAAGTTTTTGTCCTCGGGGAGTGTTCCTTGAAGCTTATAAGCCAGGATGGGATCCATCAAGCTTGGTTCAGCTTCGACGCATTGGATCTCAATATCTTGGTCAATGCTTCTGTTTCGGCGCACTTCCACATATACAGATCGGTTTAGCTCGGTGAGAGTCGAACTTGCAAGTTTGGAAAGTGCGTCGGCTTGAGCATTCTGACCCCTTGGGATCAGCTCAACTTCAAAAGCTCTCAGCTTCGCTATGACTGACTTGATCTTGGCGAGATAAGAGATCATGGAGGGCTCTTTTGCCTCATATTCGCCCCGAATCTGATTAGCGACCAGCTGAGAGTCTGTTTTGTTTTTAAACAGACATGCTCGGCTTCAAGAGCTATGCACAGTTCTAAGCCAGCAATTGCTGCTTCATACTCTGCTTCGTTGTTAGAAGCCTTGAACGAAAATTTGAGTGCATACTCGAAGTTTTTACCTTCGGGAAAGGTAATCACTACCCTTGCTCCCGAACCATTTACGGTGGCTTAGCCATCCATGAATACAGTCCAAGTCCCCTTCCCTTCGTCAAGTGTTTCCTGATAGGAACATTCGGCCAGGAAATCTGCTAAGATTTGGGCCTTAATGGCTGCCCTCGGCTGATAGCTTGTGCTGAACTCAGTGAGCTCGAAGGCCCACTTTGTTAGTCTGCCCGACTTTTCAACCTTGCCGAGGACTTTTTCCAGCGGTTGATCCGTTAAGACCACTATCTGATGTGATTCAAAATAAGGCCTTAACTTCCGAGTCGCTACTACCACTGCATATGCAACTTTTTCGAGCAAGGGGTAGCGCGTTTCGGCATCGGTCAAAGTATGACTGACGAAGTAGATTGGTTGCTGGATCTTTTCTTCTTTTTTCAGCAGCACTGCACTCACTGTGGCAGGGCTAACTGCCACATATATGTATAAGACTTCTCCTTCGGCTGGTCTTGCCAGTGTTGGGAGATTGGCCAGGTGCTCTTGGAGCTGTTGGAAGGCTAACTTTTTTTCTTCTTCCCATATGAGCTCTTTAGATTTTGGGAGTTTAAGCGCTTTGAAGAAGGGCAACCCTTTGTCTGAGGCTTTTGAAATGAACCTGGACAGGGCAGCCATCCTCCCAGTGAGACACTGAACGTCCCTCTTTGTTTTCAGCTCGAGAAGGTCAAGGGCTGCTTGAACTTTGGTGGGATTTGTTTCGGGGTTTTCTGATGTCCTGCGGGAGAGTTACAATTCCGAGACTGGAACCGGACGCCTGTACCTGCAAAATAACGGAGACTCCTGAGAGCTCCGCCTCCAACGGTCAAGTTAGTACCTGATTAAGGAGTAATTAATACGGAAATTAAAGTAATAAGGTCTCTCTAGGTGAGAGTGCTTAGTGTTGGTAATCTGCTTTGTTAGCGAGATCAGCCGGTTATTACTGTGTGTAATTAATGTATTTTTCGTAATCCCCCCCTTAATGAGGATTAAGGGAGGTATTTATAACCTTGGGAAACGTGCCCATCCTAGGTTTAAGGTAAACCTAGGGCTGATCGGGCCTCTAGACTGGATTGGGCCTTGATGGCCGGTTTTCCCATTTGGCATGGGTGGACACGTGGCGTGCCTTGATTGGTCCGTAGAGGACGTATCTGTGATTGACACGTGGCAAGCTCCTATTGGCCTACGTGAAAGACACGTGGCGGAACCTGGTTGGTCCACTTGTCAGACGGTGATTGGTGGATGAAAATCGCCTAATCATTTGCCCCTCACAGGTGGCACGTGACTGGTCACGTGTCGCCTGTGACAGGTGTCGCACGGTGACAGGCGACAACCTGCTACAGGTGTCACCTTGCGAACGGCCGAGAGATTTTCCCGCCCAAATTTTTGAATTTGTAAGCGACCCTTCGCCTTCTCACTTTGCCTATATAAGGAAGTGCTGACTTCGGTCATTTTCACATTTGAGAACTTTGCGAGAACATTCGGACCCCTGAACTTGCTCTGACATTTCGGACCTTTTCTGCCTACCGCCTGTTCTGACAAGCCGACTGCACCGGATTTCCAGAACTTCATCAACCGTCACTCGTTCAGGTAACTCAGTTCTCTTACTCTTAATTTTCTTTTTATTTTTTGAAATGGCACCACGGAAGCACACGACACGACCTAAGTTAGTGATCAGCCGGTCACCGGGGACGGCTGAATCTAGGACTAGGAGTGCCGCCTGCCCTTTTCTGGACCCATCTTTGCCCTTTATACAAAGTCCGACTGTATCTGTGTCTATGCAGAACGTGATGGCCAGAACGAAACAGACTGCTATGATATCAAACTCAGACGGCTCCTCCCAAAGGGTGCTCCTTAGTGAAACATCTGACCAGGCGCCAGATGTAGAATTGAAACGAGGCGACTGCCAAGCCGACAGTTCTGAAAGAGGGGCCAAGGTGGTCCCTTCCCATCTTACCGTTGACATGTCTAATTTTCCTCCTGCCCCTTCTAAGGGAGAGGAGGCGGGCCCCTCTGGGAGTGGGGAGGAGTCGTCCTCTTCGGACTCATCAGAGGATGAGTCCGAGTCCAGCTCTTCTGGCCACAGTTCTCCAGGCTCAGAAGAAAAACATAGCCGCCTACAAGAGGCGAGACTTTCTCACGCAGTTGAGAAGGGGGACAATTGGGCGGAGCCGTCCGCCTCTTACAGAGAGGAAAACGCCCCCTACTACTGAAAGGTACCCCGGGGCCGGATCGCAACCATGCAAGACAACGTGGCGAGCTTTATTGCCAACCACAGAATGGGCCCGGAATTTTTACTGTTCGTGCCGGATCCAGAAGACACTGTCGTCTGGCCGGCTGGTACCAGCTATGATGACGGCTGCTTTGGCTGCTATGTGGCGGCCATCAAAGCTGGACTGCGCTTCCCATTACATCCGGCTGTTCAGCGGATTTTAGATGGGTATGATTTGGGGTTATGGCAGTTAGCCCCCAACTCTTGGGTAAACGTACTCGGCTATGTGGCCGGGTGCGAAATGTACGGGGTGGAGCCAAGCTTTGAGGCTTTCGCCCACATGAACTATCTCAGCCGGACCCCTAAGTCGGGAGGTACCGGCTGGTATCAATTAACGAGCCATAGGGGTTACCTCATGACGAGAGGTAAAGCGAACAAATGGAAGGATTGGCGGAACACCTTCCTTATCATAGAGGGTTCAGACACGGAGCTGAACCAACGTTTTAACAAGTGGAATAGGGATCCGCCTCTTCTCGCAGGCGGCCGCAGCATGCCGCCTGTTCCCCCAAAGGCTAAAAGAGAGATCCTAGACAAAGGACTCTTCAAAGTAGAGACTAGGGTGAACCCTACGTCAGGGGTACGAGAGCAAGTACCCCTAAACTGCGTCCCGAGCTTCAAGTGGCTCTATGACGAGTACTTTTTGGCCGCCTGTGGCCTCAGCAGTCGGTGCTCTAGAGGTAGCCGGCCTGACAAATACTCTGTTTTTTCACGCCTTGTTTACTTGGGATTTTTACTAACTTTGCTGTTTATTTCTTGCAGCTGACGCCATGAGTAAAATAACAGCATCCAAGACTGCGGCGGCCATGTTGCGGGCCTCGCTCATGCAACAGTCTTATGCCGACTCCCCCAACAAGGGGGCACCCTTGGTAAGCTTCGAAAACTCTTCCTCTTTTAGTTGTCTTATGCATATACTAACTCTTTTTGTTTTCAGTCTGGCACTCCAAGGGCTTCTTCCTCGCAACAGCCGGACCCCAAGGCCCGGAGAACGACTGTTGCAAGCTCTCCTGGGTCTTCCAGGAAAACTGTGGCGGCTGAGAAGCAGCCGGCCACTTCTTCAAAAACCCCGGCGGGGCCGCCTAGAAGTATGGACCCTCACTTGTAAAAACTCACTCTTGCTTCCTTCTTGACTAGGTCTAACTTGTTTTTCCTTTCGCTTAATGCAGCCGGCCCTCAGGGGCTTGACTTGGTTGAGGTAGCCAAGTCCATGGTTAAAGTAGTTCCTCCATCTGAAAGGGAGGCGGTCAGGGGTGCCGGCACCCTTGACCTTGATGGGATTTCAGGGATCCTTGCTGAGGTATACTTAGCATATTTTTGAGTTTTTGAGTTCCAGGACGCCTGTTATCTTTTTTGTTTGGAAGCTGACGCCTGTTTTTCTTTGTACTTAGGCCCTGCTCCGAGTCAACAGCCTTCGCAAGCCGATTGATCGGAAAAACAAAGAGGTAAAGGCCGCAAAAGCTATGGCCGCCTCCAGCTGTGATAAGGCAATGTTTCAAATTGCCCAAAATGAAGTACTGACCATTGATCTTCTTTATTATCAGGCGCAGGCTACCGCCGCTGTTCGGGCTCAGTTAGAGGCGGCCCAAAAGAAGGTTGACGAGCTGGAGGCGACCGTCACAAACCTTAAGGCCGAGCTGAAGCCTCTTCGCCAAAAAATGCACTCTTACGAAGCCATGGAGAAATCTTTGGCCAACGTAAAAGAACGCCTGGTGAACCAAGAGAAGAGTCTTACCCAAGAGCTCTCGGAAAAGGCCGAGCAAGAGAAGAAAGAGCTCGTCCGGGAGATGGTGGAAGACTCCGCTCAAATCCAGCGCATGACCTGGGAACGACTGTTCCCCAGTGCCGACTTTGCCTCCTGGGAAAGAACGTACCGCCAGTGTTCGGAAACATATAATCAACAGATCCTGGCGGCTGCTGAAGAAGAGGCATTGAAAGGTGCGTTGGAGGAGGAAGAGCCGGTTGTGGCGCTTGTGCCACTTGGGGGTAAGGCATCAAAAGAGGGTGCAGCTAAAGCCGAGTCCAGCAAGAAGAGTGCTGACCAGGCGGCAGCTGCTGATACTGAACTGCCCCCTTAAGCTTTAAGTATTTTTTCCCCGGCCTGCGTGCCGTTTGCTTTGTAATTACCCGGCCAGGGGGCCGGGGTTTTGAATATTCTGCTGGTCCTTAATGACCGGCTCATTTTTAATCAAATTTTTGTTTTGGTTCAAATTTGTCTAAGTATTCCATATCTAATATCCCTTTGTTCACAAGACCGACTGTTGTGTATGGCCGAACGTTAAGACAGGTACAAATAGTAAGTACGCCGCCTATGCCCCTGGACGACTGGTTGTCTGTTTCCAGGATAGACGATCAGTCGGCCACTTATTCAATCGGTATTCGAACTATTTATTCAATTGGTCTGACCAAGTAAATAGTATTACCTAGTCGTCAAGGAATTAAGTAGGATAACAAGCGGCGGGTGCCGGTTGTTTCCCTTTATTGCCAATGTTGGCTTTTGACTCGTAATTTGTTAACCTAGCAAGAGTAGT